AGGCTAAGATACGAGCCCCCAACCACCCTCATGTGTCTAGCCACTCGATCCCGCACTGCAAGGTAGATGCACTCAGGCTGGATCAAACCCGTGACTCCAAGAGACGTACGCTAGGCTGCACTACTAAAGAATCAAGGCGAGCGGCGCACACACACACACAAATACACACAAATACATATATATTTATATATATATATATATATATATATTTATTGCCAAAATAAAATTTTCATTGATGGGAAGAAGATACGAAGGTTTTAGTGAGCGGGTGCTTGGAACCCACTCAAAAGGCATAGAAGACTCAGAAGGTAACCAAAAAGTTACAAGTATACCTCAAAAAAACCTGGACAATTTTCCCAAAAAGTAAAAATGGTCATCCAGAGAACTTAATCATGATGAGTAGGGAGTCGAGCACAAAACTATGATGAGGGCTTTAACCTGAAACGAGCAAAACATCTTCCTGTAAATTCCTGAGTTCATTTAGTCCTTTTTTCTTCTTTCTGTTTTGTAAACTTTCTAATGATCTTCCAAGGGTTGTCCCTTCTTATCACTGAATCGATCATCAATGGGGGCTATTTCTATCTGTTGCACACCTTGAACTTGACACTCCGCCACGGTTTGAGTGCCCTGAACATCAACAATAATTGTTTCCATAGCTTATAGAGCATCATCTGGCACCAAAAAGAGAGTATCCTCATTTTTGGCAACATGAAGGGGTTGAGGTAGTGAGGCGTGCTCCTCTAGGGCAAAATCAGGGGCAATATCCTCTCTAGTTGCAGTTTCCACCATATTTGCTGGTGGAATAAGTGCTTCTTGAGTAGTTAGGTGAGACACTTGAGGTTGGGGTTTCAAGTTAGGGTGGAGTCTGAAACATTTTTCAAGTGTGTCCAAACATCTTATAATGGATGCAATAGTATGGTCTTTATTCCATGACAATCTGTTGCTAGTACTCGTTATGTGCAGTGTCAAGCCAAATTTCCTCAATGTTAGGTAAAGTGATATCTCTCTCCACAAGGATTCTGGCAACGTATGTATAATTTCATTGGTCTCCCAAGTATGACCCCAATGGGATAAAAGACATGATAATTGAAAATATGCAACTTAAGCCCAGGTAACTTAAACCATATCGGTACTGTAGGTGGTTCTTGGTTTGGTTCAAATTCAAGAGACCACTTGAGCAACTTCATAGATTTTTCTTCAATGGTGAGGTATTTTCTGGAGAATTTCCTAGCATAGTCTTCGTCCTTAGTCAATTGTATTATCACATGTCTCTCATCAAAGAGACCAACCTTCCATTGTCCTACCAGTTTGAGATCCTCAAAAGCATTGCAAATAACCTCTATTTTGAGATGCCCCTATTGAAATTTTCCAATGAGTATGAAATTGCATTTTCCAATCAGAGTAGTGCCTTCGAGACCTCAAAAAAATAAGAGTGGCCTTACCACCATTCCTACAAGTCCTCTTAACGAACTGACAATCGGCTATCTATTCAAGAGAACCATGATAGATCTGAGAAAACACCACATGGTCGACAACCTTCTCAGAGTCTAGACCCTTTCCAAGCTCCTCAACAAAGGATTTTTTTGCCTAAGTACTGATTCGAGGGCGGACCCGTGGCCATCGAAGCAGCAGAGAAAAAACAAAGAAAGAAATGAGGAGTTGAAGCTGAACTTTGGAGTAGAGGATCACGCTACTGTCGAGCTGAGTCGAGGAGGAATGCGAAGGAGGAGCTTCGATTGTGTCCTAGCTATGTCGAAGAAGAAAAGTTGTGCGGGACGTAAAATCGAAGCTATCGAATCGAGCCTCTGTTGCAGGGAGAAGTCGGGGTTGATGTTCATGCGGAGGAGGATGACAAATCTGCAATGACGCAGCCCCTTCCCAGTCTTTTGTGAGAGGTGATGAAATTGCTTTGACGCAAACCTCTACCTTTCTTCGAGCACGACGAAACGACGAAATAGGATATGTTGTCTACCGGCTTAAAGGTATCGAGGGCTACTCGAGTCGTCATGTCGCGACCAGAGTAAACCCTAGTAGAGAAAACCTATTGAATATATCTATATACATATATATATATATATATTATTTTCTACGAAAATGTGCTCATTCATATTTTTTTCTGACATAATATCAGGAGCATTGGATGATTGAAGCTGCACTTGTATTTACTAGAATGGCTCTATTTTCTTACTGTTATTATATTGATTGTATTGCTTTCATGGTTTCTTGATTCCATTTCCCAAATATATGCCAATACAGGGACACCATCTGGATCTCCGTTTAGTTAGGAATCAGTGGCTGTTGCTAGATCCAGGTACTGAGTGTCTAATGTCAGAGGTTAATGAAGAAAGAACTTCGGGAGACTTAAGGGAAATGGGAAGCAGATTGGCTGAAGAAGTGACTGTTTTTGTTAAAAAAAAGATTGACAAGCTTTCAAGATATGGAGGTTGCAAGGACTTGAAGCTTAGTTTTGTAGGCCATTCTATTGGAAACATTATAATAAGAACTGCCTTAGCAGGTTTTGTCTATAACTTGAAACTTAATTTGTGCATACTAATCAAATATTTTTCTGAATACCATGTGTAATTTTACAGACAGGTTGTTTGATCCGTATCATAAAAACCTTCATACGTATATGTCAGTTTCTGGGCCGCACTTGGGGTACTGGTACAGCTCGAACTCCTTGTTCAACTCTGGTTTGTGGGTATTGAAGAAACTCAAAAACAGTCAGTGCATCCATCAGCTTACTTTCAGTGATGATGCTGATCTCCAGAATACTTTCTTTTACAAGCTGTGTAAGGTAATATAAACCACCTTTTCAATATTTTCCAATACCTTTAATTAATCAATGCTGGCAATAATTTAATATTATTATTGATCTTGTTGTTAAATTGATCACAATTCTCTTCATGAGCAAGTCTAAGATTGTAAATTTATGAGATAACTTTCATTTCATCATCGTCTCTTCCCAGGTGCGATTGGTATTTTTGAATTTCATTTTAGAACCAACTATTGTTGTCAGTTTCAATGCATCCATTAATTTTATGATTATCCGACCCTTCAAGAGTGAATGGGAAATTCTCTTCTATAATGTGTAAGGGTATAGAACTCTAGATTTTTTTTAATCTGAAACCCCTTAAAGAGAGTTCATGTGTGTTGGTGAACAGTTCAATATAATTTGCAGCTATATTTTTCGGAAGTATTAGACCGAGACCCGGAATGCATTAGCTCTTATTTATTAGAAGGAAAAAAGTAACTGTCAATATTAAAAGGAAAATTGAAATTATCATTATTAAAAGGAAAAATAAACGATGTATGCTAAAAGTGCTTTTGGCTGCATTTTCGTTCAGTGGGAAGGGAAAGTTATGATCCTATTTGATCAAACTTATGCTTTAATATATGATAATAACCTTCTGGTAACTGGTGGGCAGTCCGCCTTTTTTTTTCTAGTTTCTGCAAAATATTTTGTTGTCCTGTATATAGTGGCGACTTTAACAACTCTAATCGTAAAAGAAGTCTACCTATCCCGACCAGAGGCCCCTTGTCACCAATTCATGAATTGCATCGTCTAAAGGAGCCTCGGTAGCCCTAAGGTCAACAGAATGAAACTCTAAAACCTATGACCCTCTGTAGGTAGAAGGAAAAGATGGGACTTAGACCTGTCGAAGTGGCGACAAAGCCATTGGAGTGGAAAGAAAAGAGGGGTATGACTAATGAAGCCGAGACACTCTTGTAAAGGACTTATTCTCCGTCTGGGTCGGGGAAGCTTCTAACACCCTAGACAACTAATTAAGTAGAAATCTTATGTTTGATCAGACGAGTTAATGAAGCGTGATGACTTCTCCTAGGGACATGCAATATGCTGTTGTTATCTACACAAGTCCTAATATGGAGACCCTATTAGTCTTGACTTGGGTGATGTCATGTTATGCAAAATTATTCTAACTCTGATCTGAAGGTCATGCAGGAAAGTAAAAGCAGGGTTTGAAAATCTTTGGACTACTTTAATTCTAAATTTTGATTAGTATTAATCTTTTATTAGGATTTTTATAGAAAATTTAAAAATTTATGTTATTAGGGGGCCTAAATTATATTTGTTGAGAGTCTAGATAAGCCACAACTCAAAAAAAATGAGTAGTTGACAAACACACAATAAAGTAAACAAGCGAAGTATGAATAATAAAAGATTGAATATTGTTGGATCGATAACATATCCCAAAAAATAGAAAAAAAAAAGAGCAGACCGGATATATAATTTTGGTTCTAATTATATACATTAAAGAGATTTAGAATTAAGCTACAAGACATGAGCCTGTAGTTTCTGATCCTTGTCACGTGGTCCCGCCCATTAAGTGTATCAGAACTAGTGCTCGTACCTTATTTCGAATACGGACCTGAGCCTGGGGACTCTAAAGATACATAACAAAAGTAAAAAAGGAATCGATTTGCATGAAAACTGGGTTAGTATAACTACATGCAACATAGTGAACCATGCCTCGTTGGAGGAGGCAAGAAGATCGCCCATAATATATTAGTGCGCATGTGTCACACCCCAGCGAATACACAAAAGGCAACACACTAAAAGATGTCTGACTAGGACAACAAAATCAACAGAGAACAATAGCTAGAGATAAAAAAAAAAACAACATAGCTCTCTAGTCCTAGCCTAGCACACTATCAAATGTTTAGTGTTCGAGTCACAACATCTAAGTGTGTGCAAAGGTGTTGACAAAGTCTGGCGTATGTTTTGATGAGATGACCGACCTCAACCCCATCCTAAGGATCCAAAGATTCTAAGGGGTGCCACTAGATGCTATTTTTGCATTTACAAAAGCTTTAAAAGATTAACACTACGTGTGATCTAAGCTAAGGATGCATGTAATCTCAAAATAGATTTTGAAAGTATGAGGCCTACGTAGTAAAAAAATATAATTTTTATTTATATTTAAAAAAAAAGGTCTTTGGAGAAGAAAGAATTATTTATATTTTAAATAAAGGTCTTGGAAGAAGAAAAACCTCAATAACATCTATTAGACCCTTTGGAACCTTAGCACAACATAAGCGTGCTAGTCACAGTGCAATAGCTAATATTACCCATTGAGACATCCTCATAGGCAATACTTGTTGTCGCTTCGTGATCTGCAGTCGGTGCCTCAACTATGAATCTGATTCGCCGTCGAGACAATCAAGAATGCACATGTGGATGCAAAGTGAGTTAGTACGTTGTGGTCGCTTTGTCGAGGCGGGAGTGATCACGAGAACAAATATTCATCACAAGTGTACAGTGGCATATACGAGTGATGAATATGTCGACATTGTAAAGATGTACATGCAGGGCACACTGCACAAAAAATATTGCGCTGGGTCACATAGGTTATAGGACGCTATGGGGGAGAATTACACCTTGCTCCAATTGCGACGAAACAGACATACATATGACTGACATATACATGGTATGGCACACTATGCAATCAAACAAGCACACGCTTCATGCAGAGGAACGTGCTCGTGACAGCGTAGGGTGCTGTCACGGGGGATGAGTAATACCCAAGCTTGCTGAAAGTCGCATACCCGAGTGAAAGTGCATTGCTTTCTAGGCAGGTTCAGAGGCTAGGACGCATGAACCTTGTCTAGTATTGCTATGACAATCCTATGGGGCTTCGAAATGGTGCAGTAGGAAATGAAGATGTGTGATTCTCGTTATGTAGAATCACACGTTGGGTAGGCTTGGCGTGCAAGCCGTCCCTACAAAAGGCAAATGAGTGTGGAACTGAGTGTGTATGGACATGAGCTCAGGTGCAAACTAAATGCATATGAAATGCAAACATGCAACATGCTATGCAAAAAGACATACAAGGGTGCACGAGTATGAGTGTGAACGCGCAAGGGCGTGGTATACGACGACATAAGGGTGCTAAGAAACAAGGCACGTAGTAGTGTGCCGAAGTAGGGCATAGACACTCACTATGAGCATAAGAGGTTATATGCTCACAGGAGCACGACAGAGTGCAAGTGTGATCAAGCAGGCAATGTGTAGCAGAGATGCAATAATGCACCATTTGCATGCAATAATCAGTCAATCCAAACTGGCTGGTGATGGTCGATCGGTTGAAGCGATGGGGACGATCGATCAAGTCAATCAGGACGGTTGCAGTCGATCGTTCAAGTCGACGAAAGGGGTCGGTCGAGTTGATATGGCTGGTGGTGGCGGCCGATTGGTCAAATTGACATGCACGATCGATCGAATCGATCGTGCTTCTCATGATCGATTGATCGAGTTGACGAAGAGGGTCAGTCAGGCTCGTAGGTCAAACCGACTGATACGGTCGATCGAATCAATCAGGCCGGTGGTGGCCGTTCGTTCAAGTCGACGAATAGGGTTGCTGGAGCCGATCAGGCAGGTGGCAGCTGATCGTTTGAACTGACTGATACGATCGAATTGATCGGGCTGGTGGTTGTCGATCGATCGAGTTGACGAAAAGGGTTGGTGAAGCCGATCGAGTCAGGGACGGCCGATCGGTCAAACCGATGGAAACGGTCAATCAAATTGATCGGTCCAGAAGTTAATCGATTAAATTGAATGATATGTGCGGTCGGTCGACGACACATGCTAAAGGGGGTGTTTTTGATTCAATTTAAAAAAAAAAAATTAGGTGATACACATTTCGTGAATGCAAATTCATTTAAGAAATCACACTCAATTGGTCTTGACGACAAATCGAGCTCGCCCTAATGACCTCACGGGATCCCTAAGGCGGGATGGTTATGAATTCGTCGATCAACCGCCGTGTGAAGCAACGATTGAACGCCTCTATTCACCTGGCATGTTGTTGAGGAGCCTCATGAAGGGAAACTTTCGTAGTCTAGGGAACGTCAAAGTTCACGAGAATTTTCGTTGTTTAAACCTAAAATTGATTTCATCCTCCCCATCCATAGAACAAAATTGCCGGGCAAATGTGGGATTGCCGGAATCCCGATTTTTGGGGTTTAGGGGGCTAGAATTTGGTAGGTTTTCGCTCTTGGATTCGTAGGTGGATCACAAAAAACTCTTGACCTATGAGTTTCTTTCTAGCACAAAATCCTAACCTAATTCCTCTATCATCCAAACCAAAGGGGCTCACTAGAAATGAAATTGCAGGAGGCTAGAGAGTTCTCATCTTTGCAATGTTGGGGAAACGTTCTCTTTGCTCGCCTGTGCTCCGATCACATCGCTTGTAAAGATGAAGCTCTCCTTCACGTTGAGAGTCCAGTGAATACGAAGTAGTCTTTACCACTTCACTCTTCTCTTGGGGGAAATGAAAATGGAGGTGGAAAATGTAGTCTTTACCACTTCACAATTTTAGTTTTTATTTAGCTTCCAACGTAAAAAATGATCTTTTCCAGAAAAGGAAGGTGGCACTCGACATGCTTGTCCGACATGCAAAACTTTAGCTTGGACAAGTGGCTAGCTCAGGGGAGTAGCCTAGGTTGCCCAAAGTTCAAAATGGTCCCCAAGTTCAGCTGTGGGGACCAGCTCAATTATTGAGTAGGTCAGGGCTTGGTGCGGGTGTGCCCACTGCATGCAGTCAGGTGCGGGCACGCCCCAAAATTGCCTTAGCGCGCTGCCATTACGGGTTCCCAACGCTGGCCCAACACGAGTCTCGCTCGGGTGCGCCAGACAGAAGGCTATCGTGGGTTCTCCCAGATTTGTCGCGGTTGCGCTTTGTTCTTTGTTGCCCGATGCAGACCCAACATGGATCTGTGTGGGGGTGCTGGACCAAAAAAAGGCACGGGTGCGCCTCAGAATGTCCCGGGCATGTTTGGTTCTATGTTTCTTGGCGTGGATCTAGCGCAGGGCTGGCATAGGCGCGCCCAGCCTGATGAAAGCGTGAGCGCGCCAGGATGTGGTTGGCCGGGGTTGGCCGGGGCTGGCCGGAGCTGGCCTAGCCCAAAAGAGGGGAGCGCCAGGACGCGGCACAGGTGCGCCGAGGCCAAAACCTGCATGGTTAAGTGCGATGCTCTTCAAGTCACTCGACCGGATGTTTACAAGTCTTGGGGCACTCCGGGAGAGTGAAATATCATCTTGCAGGCTTGACATCAAAAAATGGTGCCAACAATCTATAAATTATAAACTTAATGATTGCATAAAAACACACCTAGTTTCTTGCAAAGCTAAAATTAAATGCATATATTTTTAAATTTCTTAAAACATGCTATATGGAACTGATTAGTCATCATTTTCTTTCATTTCCCTAAATCTCTTCCCCCTTTAGTTTGAATTTCTTTATCTTTGAAATCTTCTTTTTCTTTCTCCTCTGACGAGTCTGTTTTTGTCTTTTTCTTGTATAACACTAACAATGGATTCATGTTGAGATAAACAAGCCCTTATTATGAATGAATTTTTCTTTGTTTTTGATGTTCTAAATCTTACATAATACTTTCAATTAACTTCTGATACATCTTTATATAACTTTCATATATATTTTCACCATCAAAATATTCCTAACCAACATTCTTTTTCCCTCATTAAAACCACACAACTTTCATTAATACAGATACAAACAAATTTGATCAATAGAATCTTCTTTTCTAGGTTTTATGTACTTGATTGACACTAAGGCTATGTTTAGCGTAGCTGCAGCTTTCCTGCTTTTCAGCTGCAGCTGTGCTGTTCCAGGAAGCTGCTGTGGGGAAGTTGCTGCGGGGAAGCTGACTGGTTGTTTGTTGCAGCTCTGTGAAAACAGCTGTGGATCAACTGTTTCTAGAAAAAATAGTCATTCTGTCCCTGTTTAGTTAAATTGTTTGGAACATAACAAATACAACCTTATATACGATACATCAGAATCAAATTCACTTTACAAGATAAACATGCAAAATATAGTTAAATGATACACCAGAATAGGAAGACAAGAACAAGAAGAAGAGGAGGAAGACGACTAGGAACCGTCACGGGCCGGAGAAGAGAAGGGGAGGGGAGAAGATCGCGGGTTCTTTGTTTCGCGGGATCAACTTCCAACTGTGTTAGGGCTTGGCACAAGGGGCACGGGGTTAAAAGCCGTGTCGACGAAGTTGGGGTGTGGTGTATAGTTGGCTTTCCGCATTCGCACTAAACCGCAGGAAGTGGCGACGACACCGCCACATCAAACGGGAAAAAATGAGCAGCGGTGGGGTGGCCCCCCCCCCCCCCCCCCCAAAAAAAAAAAAAAAAAAACAGATCATAAATCATTTAAACAGTTTTGATCTAACCAATTTCTCTTCTATTTGTAAATATGTAGTAATAAGGTCATATTGAAATACATAAGCTATGGGAATTAAAATTTGTGATCGAACGTTTATTTTATGATTTTTTGTGGCTTTTAATCAAAATCCTTTGCCTTGACTCGAAGTGCATTTCAATTTATTTGAGAAAATAACCTCAATTTGTGATAAAATGCTCTTATTTTTAAAGCTTGAATTTAAAGATATTATAGCCGGCCATTTGTCATACATTCCACTTAATTCTTATTCATTTACATATCTACGGCTATATTTATACTAGCCAAGTTTTTCATATCACCTCAAGAAAAATCACTATTTTAACTTTTAAAAAGTGCAATGCACCTTTTTATGCATATGTAAGGTGATATATGTAAAAAATGAAGTTTGGATGGCAGATATGTAAATATATAAGAATTGAGTGATATTTATGTAAATATTCCTATTATTTATTGAAAAGGCGTAAATGAACATACCAACATTTATTTAACAAACTGGAGTAAATGAACATACCCAAATGAGACGAGTGAAAAGCTGCAACTTGCTTTTTGAGCGCTTCTTGCAAACACTTTAGTGATTGACAGAGCCAAGCAGACACCTACTCAACTCACGAAGTGTGAGAAGGATGCTAAGTGGAGGTCTCTAGTGTCTCAGCACATTGTTATCAAATCACGTTTTAGTACATGCGTTTAGCAAACCTGATTTCATGCTTGAGAGTACCTGAGATGGAAAACTTAACCCGCTGTCTTTATATTTTAACTTTCTGCTTTTTCATCTTCTACAATTTTGTTAGTTACACTTCAATTTGTAGAAATACTTAAACCTGTTTTTTATCTTATTCAGCAGAAGACCTTGGAGAACTTCAAGAATATTATCCTACTATCCTCTCCACAGGTATTCATTTGACACATACTTTTTTTAATAAAGATTTATTTATTTATTTTTTATTTTTTTTGAAATGTCAGATAGTTTATGTGCATATAAGTGATATTCCATTTTCTTGATTTTCTGAGCTAGTCTGTTTTGAATTTAGTAAATAATCTTGTTTCATGTTTTGGTTTTGTATGTTCTTTTTAGAGTTACTAAATGTTGAACTCATTCAGTCATTCTATCCAACAAAGCATTGCCGCACTGTCCTTTATAATTTTAAATCATGCTCTTGGATGCATTTGATGTGTTTAGAATTTGACTCTTTTCTCATATTGTTTGAATTTTAGGAATTATAAGTTTCTTTTGATGAACAATGGGTTGCTGATATTAATATTGCTCCCATCGGGAGGATTTATATGCTTGCTTTGGCATAATATTCTCCCCCAGTTCAAGAACTACACACTTTCTAACTACTATGATCTTGCTTTCTTGGGTTCTAAGGATGTCACCTGAACTCCTTTCTGACCCAGGAGGTTTAGTGAACCCATTGTATTCGGTTTTATGGATCCTCTTGACCATATTTAGTTAGCTTGGATTGTGTGTTGGTTGATTTTCTGTTCTATTAATTTGTTTGAAGGAATTCTAAGGGTCAATTGCTACTGCATGAAAGAGTTTAGGGCTGCGTACATGGTGCGAGTATGAACTTCTCCCACGTAAGCTTGAGTAAATTATTATAAACCTTACATAATATAGAACTTCTGCTGCTGCCCCCACCTAGCTGATGCAAATCTGATGCTCTTTAGGCAGTAAAAATGCTCAATCATGTGTTTTAATATTATTTTAGTCTTCTATATTTCTTTGTTTTGGTTTTCCCATTTTTTAGCATGCCTACGATGATAGTGTTTATGAGAACAAGATGTGTTTTTTTGTATTTTTTTATTATCTTGATCTGTTTGGTTATGCCGTTAGTTGTGTTGATTTAGCTTTCATTGGATTTTCTAGCTCAATTTTCTTGATCATTTGGATGTAGCACGTGATTGGTTCTTGTTATTTTTCTGTCACCTATTCAGCTCTAATTTTGAAAGGTTTTTACCGCTCTATTATTTTTACCGCTGCACTCAGCATCTCTAACTTGCCATGCTATAGATAGAGAGGTGGGATGGTTGTTGCCATAATTGCTGGGTTGTTTTGCTTTCGGCAAAATTTTCTACTATCGTCATGTTTGCATACTTGTAGTGCACTTCTAATTTTCTTTTCTTACTGTAGCAGAGAATCCGAGATTGCTGGAAATGAGATTTTGTAGTTGGAAATTTTTCTTGCTGAAATTAAGGCTAGAAAGTTAATGTTTTTATGGTAATTTAAGTTTGATGTATTGAAAATTGTAATTTCAAGCCATAATTTTTGTTTTTTTTTTGGATCAAAATAAGGCAATTTTTGTCAAGCCTAAGACTTAGAAGCTATGAATTGTATAATTTTGTGTGTGTGTTTTCGTTTGTTTTTATTTTCTTGCACATATGATCTTAAATTTACATAGTGTATCCTAGATTGTAAAAAAAATTTGAATCACTGGCCCTTTTAATTTGATAAATTTTTTGTAGGTTTTTTTTCTGAGCTACACATCTTTTTAACTCCACCACAATTTAGAGGTAATTTGGTTGAGTTATTTGTGATGTTGAAGAAGGAAGAAGAGGAAGCATCTGTGTTGGGAATTTTTTTTCTTACGGTGTTTTTTGGGCCGCCGTCATAATTTCATTGGGATATTATTTGCATGTTGTTTATCTAGAAATTGTTATGGTGAAATTTTGTATTTAATAAGCATCCCTACTAGAATGTGGTCATAGTATGAAAGTTGCTCTCTTACTTTGTTAAAAAAGAAAACATTTATAATACATACAAAAACTTTTAAAAAGTTTGCTTTTTCCATAACACCTATAGACGAACCCTTGGCCATATTGGAGATAAACTGAGAAAAATTAAGGACCGAGGAAAAAGATGAACGAAGAATTGAATGGTATAGTTGGCTGAGCAGCTGGGGCTGGTGCTTCATTTTGTCCCACAGAATGGAGGCGACATAGCTATTCAAATACAACACCACCATAGCCACCATAACTAGTGGATAGTAACAACAACTTTTGACAAGGAGAATCTAGCCGACTGAGAGGAAGCTAACAGTGAAGGAGCAATGCTCGCTCTCGACCATGCAGAAGAAAGGCAGACAAATTCTCTTTTTTAGCTCGAGGAAATCAAGATGCATTGCTCGCTAACAAACTCGACCGAGAGAACAATTTCACTCTTGGGAACCTTGTACTTAAGATTGTCGATCCAGCTGCTTGCGAACAGTCGGCCTGTAAACTTGACTAGACTTGGGCCGGCCCAAGTCTAGTCTAAACCAAAGGGTTGCCCTTGAAGCGTACAAGCTTACACTAGCAAGGGGGTCCTTCATACATGGAGCATAGATGATCTCAAGTGTTTTTTTCCTTAGTAATTTATTATATGATTGTATCAATCATATGAAAGATAATAGAAAAAACGGTTTCATTCCAACAAACTTATAATTTTTTTCCTTAAGAAATATTAAAAACCTGAGTTGGCTGATTGAATGTGTAACCTCAGGATTGAACAACACTCGGGGAACTCGAGGAGTTTGTGTGCCTCAATGCCTAGCCAACACTCAGCAGACTTGAACTCTAGCAATAAAACTGACGACGCTGATTCGCTTGATTGGCATAATGTAAGACCAAATAGCCCGCAATGATCACACATCGTAAACCTGTCTCTAAACTTGGTTAGATATAATTCTGTAGGTGATTCCTTGTTTAGTAGCGACGAGCTCCGCGAAAAGTATCGAGCAAATCACCCCAATATCGAGTTTTGGCGGCTACCCCTGCGAAAACAGCGAGAAGATCTGCTTAATAATAGGGGGCATTCTGTCAGCGGGGGAGATCCAACCAAGTGACTGAAACATGATAAGTGTACGACACGAGCTGGGCATCGATACCAAAAACTAACAATAATTAAGCCATTTGATGGTATGAAACACTTAAAACGACTGACATCGATGCAAGATGCCCGACTGACGTTTAAAAGAAAAATCGGACCCTCAACTCTCAAGCATAAAAAATCCTACATCTCTAAACTTGAGCTGGGTGAAGCTCTGGAGGTGTTTCTCTGGCTAGTAGCGATAAACTCCTTGAAGGGTAATGAGTAAATCATCACAGAAGCATGCTTCAATGGTTACTCCATTTGAGGTGGCAATTCGACCAAACGAACAAGACGGGGTAAAATAAGACTTAAATCGGGCGGAAAACATGTTCAAACCCGACTAAAAAAACTCTCTTAAAGGATGAGCAATCGACTAATGCACACGCGACACAACTAGTAAGTGATAAAATATAGAAAAGGTAAAAGTGAAATAATGATAAAAAATCGATTGAAAGCCGTATTTCATTTCATTAAATCGGTCGGTTACAAAAATTTTCTTATCATTACAAAACCTATATAAAATCTCCCAACATTTTTCATTACAAGTTTTTCCCCTGTTGTAAATAAAAGACAAAATCTTCTAAGTGTAGGGATTAGAGCAGCCAGATCAAGTATTAGGCAAGCAGTTGTTCGCCCCCTGCTCATTTTCAAACTTACCACTTCTTGTTGGAGTGGCGGAGAAAAGCTTGGTGTGTTTGTTCAAGTCGGAGTACTTTGGATCGACCATTCTGACACGCCCGAGCTGGTCGATTGCCAGCTTTGTATCGAGCCGGAGTTGCTTGGCCTAACCGTCGGAAAACTCCTCCTTAGTTTTCATTGTGGCCACCTTTTCAGATAAAACTTTGTTCTCATCTTGAATTGCAGAGAGTCACTCAAACGCGTTCTCCAACTCCTCAACCTCAACCCTCAAGCCTTTGTTATAACAACTTCTTAGCCACCTTCGATTGAGCCTTGACAATCTTGACCTTCTTCTCAGCATTGTATTCCGGCTCCTTGGCATCGAGGTAGCGGGAAGTCAAATGGAGTGTGGCTGTAAGGCCCATCAGTTGATAATGATAGATGGGATGATAGAGGTCCCGAGGGTCGTAGTTTTCTAATTTTCTATCAAAATTTTCAGACCTAAGAACGTCAGAAATGGTTGAGGCGTACTTGTCGGTGCCTAAGCTGCTAGGGTACCAATCCCTCTCCATGTGCAACAGGGCAAAGTGAGAGTCTTTGGTGACAAAGACCTTTTTCCGCTCTTTTTTGCATGAGGCTTTAGTCGCCTGTAATTGGAGGCAGGGGAAGTTCAGTGCTCAATTCACCCATTGGGGCCTTGCCTTTCTTGCGTCAGGCTTCATCAGAAGCTGTGGGCTCAGCCTTTGGAGGCTTGGGCTCTACTCGTGCCTCTTCTTCTTCAGATACCTGTTAAGCGGCTGCGAATATTTCAAATTCTGGTTCAGGCTCAACAAAAACCTTAATGGAGTCGACCGGCCTCCCCACTTGCAGCGTTGTCAACGAAGGTGATGGTGGTCGCTTATCGGGGGTCGCCGACTCCTTATCTCTTTGTTTGTCCGAGAGTCTTCAAAATTAGTCCTCAGATAGCTTAGAATCTGGTCTCCCTCTTACTCACGAGCCCTCCAAGAACCTCAACTAATCAAAGTAGGTTTTCGCTCGATCAAAATTAGCTCTTCAATGGAGATCTTTTGAATTACTATCATAGTTTTAGAAACAGATTGAGTATAGTCCGAAGCTGGTATCACAACGTTAGGGTGGACAATCACTTTCTCCTCCCTTGCCCTTTCGACAACCTTACTGTCGAGCCGCCTTCATGCACAACTTTTTCTGAGTAGGTTGCGAGAGTTTTTCCATCTGCTTCTTCTCCTTGGTAGCATCCGATGCCACCCAAAGCTTCGTAGTTTTGGCCCCAAAATTGTACATGTTCAAGACTTTGTTCACGACCACCTCGGCGATATACTGAACCACAAACTATTGCCTTCCTTTGGTAGTCAAGGTTAGGTCCCGAATCCGGGGCGACACGAATTTCATCTTCTTATAGTCCC